AGAGGTCTTGCCATGTTTCTCGAATCGCATAAGTGTTTTTGATATGGTAGCTCTTGAAAAACCAAACAGTTCAGCACCCTTAGTGATCGAGGCTCCAGCCATGCGAGCTTCAACAATTTGCTCTTTTTCGAACTCGGAGAGGTCACGCATTTAGCTTAAATTTTACTAAATTCTAAAAATAAATAAGACAAAATAGTAAATAAAATAAATAAACGTATTTACAATAGATATAATCTGCAATTACGAAGTTTTAGTTAAAGTTCTTAATATAATAGCTCTTTGAAATATAGGAGTGGATTTTGCAATTGTTCCAATTATTTTGTCCAACCCCTGTATATATAGGGTATCCATAAAGTTCTTGTGCACTTTAAAAAATATAACTTTATTTGTATAAGCGATAGAAATAATTTGTAAAACGGATTAGAAAGAAGTAAATCTATATTTTTTAATGTTTTATTCAAATTTTATTTAAGTTTCCACATGTCCTCCATCATTAGCAATACAAAGGGTAATACGATTTTGCAGTTCACGGAAAATATTTCCCAACTGATTTACAGTAATGCCTGAAATCACATTAGTTATTTTAGCTATACTTAAAACGAGGTACATTAACCTTTATAACATTTTTTACAGATTATTTCTATCGCAAATACAAAGTTACAATTTTTAAGTGCTTTTGAACTGTATGGATACCCAGTATGTGTATATATATATATATATATATATATATATATATATATATATATATATATATATATATATATATATATATATATATTATCAGTTTTCGCCAACGGAAATGCGACGAAGGCTGAGGCGAGTGCTTTTATAATCATTGTCATGTTTAAGCTCTTTTGGCCTGTCTTAGGTCGGTATAACATAAGCTTGCTCAATCCGGACTTTTAAATGAATTTATTCCCGCGGACTTTTAGTCTATCCCCATGTTGAAATAACAACAGTAATGGAAATCAGATGTCTTTGAATTCCAAGTCACAATAAATAAGGAAATGTCTCTTGGGCTACATAACTTATTAACGTGGTGTGTCCTCCTCGCAGAGACAGTGAAATCGTCTTAAGCGATTACATCATTCAGTGAATTTGTATTTCGTAGTAAAACTACGACTGCAACAAGTTTAATCTAAGTAACGTAACACTGTTGCGGCATTTACATCAGAAGTTTTAGAATTCGATTCACGAGAGAATATTTATTTTGATGAGGGTGTATGAGCTTTTTGCCTGTGAGAAAATATAAAGTCAAGCAGGGAAAGCTGTCCCTTGACAGGTTTCGTTCCACGATGAAAATTCCTCAGGCAAAGTTAAACGTTGTTTTTTATTTCATTGATGGAATAAGTCCTCTCTAAAAAAAAAAAAAAGGAAACTTTGGGGGATAAAGGGTAGTGAGAAAATACAACAAAAAGTTTTCATCAAAACATTTAAAGATACAAAGAGGCTAAACAATGAAATTAATTTAGCCTGTTGACATAGATAAATTTTAAAGTCAAAGCAAATTCTTCATTTGAGATAAATAATTATTACACCGTTCTCTTGATAGTTCTTGAATTCACTTTTAAGATGGAAGCTAGAGTAGGAATGTTGGTACACTTACTGAAGGCCCGAATGATCTTTTTCCTTTCACCATTGACCAATTGGGAAGACATAGTGTGGCTGACACAATGATTTTAATCTGTTCTCTTTCTAGCTGAATAACTCAAAGGGTTTTTTTCAGTGATTCTTACGACAATTATTTTAAAAATACATCTAATTTATTCTTACCGTATTGGACAGCATATGAGGCGCACTTTTTTTTTACTAAAAATAACTTTTAAAATACGTCTGCGTCTTATATACCATATGCAGGTTTTCTAATTTTACTAATTACTATTTTTTCTTGTTTTCCCTACTGAAATTGGGGTGCGTCTTATACACCTGTGCGTGTTATATGATGTCAAATACGGTAAATTCAGAAAATTAAAAATAAAATATGTAGAAATCAATGATGTAAGCACATTTTTGATATTTGTAAATAAAACACCAAAGATCATTTTATATTCGATATAATGAAATTGATCTCATTCCAAATCGGTAAAAATATTTTTAAATTATTAATAGTAATTTAAAAAATGATATTTTTATTATTCCACAAATATTATGCGAATCGACCAGTATTTAATTAATGCCCCTTATCCTTCATTAAACTTTTGCAAACTAATTGATATTATTAGAGCATAAGAATGAAATAATCAAAGCAATTCCTTTATGTATGAGGATATCTGTGAAAGGAATTTTAAATAAAATATTATAGTAAATGGATCTAAGAATTTATAGCTTATTTCGATATTAGATATATTTGACTTCCCTAAATATTGGCTAAGAATATCCGTTATTTTTACATTTCTGTAATTCAGCTGAACTTTATTACCAAGCCTTTTGCCGAGTAGACAGGCTCTCTACGAAACGCAGAGTAGAAAAGCTTAACTGACCACCTAATTTGATTTCTTACTATTAATAGTCAATCTCTTGATATTGAGTACATTAATTAGAAAGCCTGCTTGAGTTAGAAATGTAACATTCCAGAAATAATTTCGTCAATATTTTCCTGTTGAAACGCAGTCTTTGTTACTGTTATATTTATATGTGCAATTACCTAGATGGATAACCCCTTGGGAATATCAGGTGGTGTAAGCTTGGGTGTGCGGGTGGTGTAATGGATAATGGCTCGGAATTGTTAACAGGGCAGACGAATTTCCCGTTGGCTTCATCATATTCACATACTCGAAAATTGCCTTGGGGAGAGAATGAATTCACTTCTTCTCCTGCCATTAATGAATCAACGAGTAAAACTTGTATGACGAAATAATTTTTATCTCCCCCAAAAAGAAAATTGCGAAAGAAATATTTAGATTTCGTCATGAAATATGCCAAAGAGATTGATATTCCGCTAAACAAAGAAAAAAACATTTTACATAGAGATACATGTACACACAGAGACGCGCACCTCTCTCTCTCTCTCTCTCTCTCTCTCTCTCTCTCTCTTTATATATATATATATATATATATATAAAGAAATATAGTCTTAAGGTGTGCTATATTTATGGGATAAAGTGCTCAATATCAGAGATAGAGCGTATGTAAATGCGTGGCCTGACGATTGCATATAGCATGAAACAGACTGTCGCCTCTAAGTGTTGACTTCTATGTTCACTTTTATTTATATATATATATATATATATATATATATATATATATATATAAATGACAATAGAAAAACTGTAATAGTTGCCGACGCGTTTCGTCCAATGTGGACTTTCTCAAGGCAAAAAACGAAATGAATTGATTTAAACAAAGTAACTAATAATATCAAAAACAAAATGTCCTTAGCAATTGGCAGAATTTTGAGAACGCTGTTTTCATACTGTTAACGGAAAATTACGTCAATTACTGTTACGTGTTGAGATATTGTTATTATTGCTGTGTTGACGGATTCAACCATTTTCCTTTGATTTCACAAAATTGTTGTGTACGATTGTTTGAGAGAGTAGTAATTCTGTTAAGAAAGATGAAATAGGGAAAAATCCTGGGCGTAGATTAATATTTGGGTAATATTCAATGGCGGCACTCTCTAGGATTTTCCTTCTTAGTTATTTTCTCACTTGATTTTAAAAATGCTACACTCATAAAAAAAGAAAATAACTGTAAGAATTATTTACTTCGTACATTTAATTAAGGATATGCTATGAACATTTCCTTGGAACGCCTTAAATATTTTTCTAGTGTTTATTTTATTTTATTTATTACACAAGTAATGGCGGTTTTTCGGCATTTAGATTTTGGTCGTTTGAGCATTTTCCCCTAGAGAAGTTTTGTTTATGTGCGCATATTATCTACTCATCACCTACCCTAGTTATAATCTTTAAGTAGCGGGGGAGATAAAACTCCATTTCACGAAAAACACTTGCCCACTGCCTAATGGCCCGTGCACATTTATGAAAACAATTAGTAGTTGCCGGTTAATATATACCTGGAAGTTATAAAGAATATATACATATATATATATAACATTATGAAATGGACAAAGTCCGACAATTATTTTAAGACATTTTTTATGTTAAGACGTTCTTTTTTTATAGATACAAATATTTAAGCAAATGATTTTTTTTTATAATAAACAGTATTAACAACATTTACCGGCCTGAATGTCAGGCAAATTTTAGATGAGGTTAATATGTGTTTTAGTTTTTGGAACTACTATAACCTCTTCCTTATATATATATATATATATATATATATATATATATATGTGTGTGTGTGTGTGTGTGTGTGTGTGTGTGTGTGTGTGTGTGTCTGTCTGTGTGTGTGTCTGTGTGTCTGTGTGTGTGAAAGAATGTGGATGTGTGTAAGGGTAGTTTGTGAAAAGTTCTTAACCAAACTAAGAATAATTCCAAAAGCAAATTTTTCTCATTTCATAAAATATTCGAACCCTGAATTTTTCAAGAGTTACTCTGATAGATAGATAGATAGATAGATAGATAGATAGATAGATAGATATTAACAAACTAAAATAGACAGACAAGAACAAACTGAGATAGATACAATATCACATGCGAAGCTTCTTTCTCATATGTGACTTGATACTAAAATACCAGATTCTGTTTATAAAAACTTCAAGGTTTGGCCGATGACAAAAAGATTCAGGGTGAGATGAAGCAAGTAACAAAAAAACAGCATTAATCTAGTTTTGGAATTTATAGGGGAAGATAACACAGCTGTCTTCATACAAGACTAAAATATTAATTACATATTATTCTGTTCATATCTATCTAAGGACGTTTATTTAACTGATTCTTTCATTTTATATATATAGGGATTTTCCAAGCGTGGCACAAGGTCGAAAATAACGGGCACCCAGTGAGGATTGAACTCACTACTCAGTCGTAATTGGTTCTAGCGAGACAAGCTTGCGAACCATTAAACCACCTCGAGGTGCCCGTATATGTATATGTATGTATAAGGGAGTTTTCTTTTCTTTCTTTCTCAAATCGTTTATTTCTTACTTTCTTTCTTGTTCTCTGACTGTCTGTCTGCCTGCCTGCCTGCCTACCTACCTACCTACCTATCTATCTAGCTATCTATCTAATAACTTCTCCGATCAATTTCTATGCTATATTATTCTATCAACATCTCTCTGTGTGTTCTTTAACTTTATCTTCTCGGTCTGTTCATATCTATCTATCTATCTATCTATCTATCTATCTATCTATCTATCTCTCTCTCTCTCTATATATATATATATATATATATATATATATATATATATATATATATATATATCCAGTCTATTCATATCTATCTATCCAATCTGTACATTATCTATCTATCTATCTATCTATCTATCTATCTCATCTATCTATCTCGGGCACTTCATGATCTGTTTATCTACCTACATCTCTATCTATTCCAATTTCTTCATATCTACCTATCTATTCGAGTCTGTTTTAATCTATCTATCTATCTATCTATCTATCTATCTATCTATCTATCTATCTATCTATCTATCTCAGGCAGTTCATGATCTATTTATCTACCTTCATCTCTATCTATCTATCTATTCCAATTTCTTCATATCTATCTATCTATTCGACTCTGTTCTAGACTATCTATCTATCTATCTATCTATCTATCTATCTATCTATCGTTCCTTACTCTATTCTCTTTACCTCTAAAGACCTGATCATCTTCAATCATATGCTTTCTTTGAATATGTTCTTCCCTCTCGGCAAACATCTCGAAAGTTTCGTTACCTAAGAATCGCACCTTTTGGCATGCGAACCTCTGAAGAGTGCACGTTCCTGAGGTTCGTGAAACTGAAGAAGATTTACATCCCGAAGGAAAACTTCCGTTGCATAAACACCGGTGATTATGTCAGTAAACTTGTCCGTGTAGACATGTTTCAAAGAATGAAATCACTCCTATACATATAGATATATGTAGTGATCTATGTAAGCGTCATTTTCTATGCATCCTAGATTCTGAACATAGGCAAATACATATACGTATACTTATGTAAGTAAACATTTATACACAAATTCGTCAACATTAAAAACCCCACGGTATGTCAATTTACTACATCTTTTTTTTCTAATACAGATAGATAAATAGTTATATTAGTGATTATATATATATGTGCGTGTGTATATATATATATATATATATATATATATATATATATATATATCAAGGATGTGTTTCTGGATGTTGAAATTCTGTGTGTGGCTGCTACATAGTAATTTTACAGTGTGAAATTCGAGCAGTTTGTGGATTTTTCACTGTAGAGTTCTTGGTTGTCACGTGCTATGCGCGACAATTTGAACAGGAATATAACCAAATATATCTATTTAATAACATATATATATATATATATATATATATATATATATATATATATATATATATATAATATATATATGTAACACACACACATATATATATATATATATATATATATATATATATATATATATATATATACGATATATATATATATATATATATATATATATATATATATATATAGGTTCATTTTGCGTGTTTCATTAAATAATGAACAAGTTGTGTCTATTTATTTTTAAGTAAATTCCTTTCATATTGTCTGATAAGCAATAACATTATCATTGAAAGACGAAAGGAAATCGCCATATTGATACATGTTTAAATCCAATCTAAGCTTTCGGCTTACATAAGCCATTATCAAAGATGACAATTACATTTAAATATATCAAATGATACACGGACGAAACAATAATGATAGTCTGTTTTTTGGGGGGGGATGAAAAATTTCAAAGCAACGACAAAATACGAGACGCGGAAGCGAAAATCGCATCGCAGCTCGTGACGTCACACATAACCACGCGAGAGTGAAAACGAGAAGTATTAAGTATGGGAAGCCGTTGTTATAAAACAATTGTGTCAGTCATCAATTATAGGCATTTAAGAATATTTGTGAGATTTCGTAGTTTATTTTGTTCAGGTTAGGTTTCAATTGTTTTATGGATATAGCTTCAAGAAATTTTAGTTTTTGTTTATTGTTATCATGTTTAAGTATAGTATTTATTAATGAAACATGCATGAATATATATATATATATATATATATATATATATATATATATATATAGAGGATAAGTCAAAAAATATATCAGCGCTTTCGCCATAACACATCTTTAGACAAGTGTTAATGTGGATAATGTTTTCCTCGTATATATATATATATATATATATATATATATATATATATATATATATATATGAGACCGGATAAAACAATCTAATTTAAAACCTCTTTGTTATTCTTAAGATACGTTCGCCTCCCTATCCTTCCTTACATTTATCTTACATAATTGTTTTCCCTTTTCCTTACTGTACACATTTACAATACACTTGCCTTCCCGTTCCTTTCTTCGTTCTTTCCTTTTTTTTTCTCCTTCTTTTTTCTCCATACCCACTTCCTTTCTATTACACTTAATTTCATGTTTTTCAATCGTCATGCGCCTGTAATTTTATTTTTGAAAACTAATTGTGTCGCGTCCCTTGTGTTTTTTTTTTTATTTAAATAAAGTGTTCAGGTTGTCCTTTTTAAAATATATCAGCTGAAGATACCAACAGGTAGAAACGAAGGTCGTTTATTTTAATTGACCTCCAGATTTTCAACGATAAACATTATGCATGTTATTTTTACTTTTATTCATATTTTTTCACAGGTGTATCGAGCACTTTTTATACTAGTGTTTCCTGGTCTGATTCAACTCTAATCTTTAACCATATATATATATATATATATATATATATGAAGAAATATAATTTTAAGGGTTGCTATATTTATGGGATAAAGTGCTCAATATCAAAGATAGAGCGTATGTAAATATTTACATACGATCTATCTCTGATATTGAGCATTTTATTCCATAAATATAGTACACCTTAAAACTATATTTCTTCGTATTCAACTCCTAAAAAACAGTAGAGCACTTCTACTACATTTATAACACATTGTATATTATATATATATATATATATATATATATATATATATATATGAACAAATATACTCTTTAGGTGTGCTATATTTATGGGATAAATTGCTCAATATCAGAGGTGGAGCGTGTGCAAATATAAAAGTGAACATAGAAGTCAACACTTAGAGGCGACTGTTTCATGGTAGACGCAATCGTCAGGCCTGACGATTGCGTCTAACATGAAACAGACTGTCGCCTCTAAGTCTTGACTTCAATGTTCACTTGCATAGATAGATAGATAGATAGATAGATAGATAGATAGATTAAATATAACAGACGACGAATGTCTATTATGTTTCATCATGAACTGTTCCAGGCATCGTATAATGCCCTTAGTTTCAAGAGAAATTAAAGACAAAAACTGTCTAATATTGGGATATTTCTTTTATTATATTGGTCGTCGTCGATCTAAGCTTTCGGCTAACATGAGCCATCATCACAGAAAATGTTCACCGTCAAAGATTGTTAACAAGGTAGTTTGCTATGAAACAATAATATTTAATTGGCAGCACCTGCAGCTAATAATATGTGCCCACTGTTGTATATTACTTTTCAAAAATTCTTCCATGACTTCTGTAACTGTGCTACAAGTTGTAATATATTATCGAAAATCCTCTTTTATTATACATTTGCTCTTTTTGTCTTACTCTTTACAGCTTTTTTTCTATCCATACCACATCTATTTTTGACTTCTATGATATCGCTTATATTGATCTATTTATTCATACATGCTGACTTTTTTATGTTCCTATCAATGCTTGTGTGAATTTTTTAAGTTGGTTTTCAACCAGTTGTGTCAATTCCCCTGTCTCCCAACTGCTTTTCATTCATTATACATTTTAAGCTTTAAGGTAGTTTTCATTATATCTCTGTTTTTTTACGAAATACTCTCCGCCCTCTCATTATGCACCAATTTATTTCAATTTTACGGCATTTTTGTTAATGTTATTGCCTCTATTAAGTCTATATTTTCCGGGACTTCCTTCTCAATTCTCGTGATATTTTTCGAGAACTGAACATGTCTATTTTTCTACTCATTTAAACCCTTGATAGTTTCCGTCTCAACGTCACTTCTAAATCGTCAATTGATTCTGATGTTAGGAAAATATCGTCCACAAGTGAAAGTCTCCCCTTCAATATATTTCTATTCCTTCTCAGTTCATTTCCCAGAGTTTATTTTAAAGGAATACTCGAAATATTTTTTTAATATTACCTATTTTTCAATCCTTTTCCAATATTTATTTCATATGAATCTGTGGTTAGTTGCGTGGATATATTCTTAATGATGCATTTTATCGGAAACATATGACATAAAATGACTTGGAGCAAGGGTATAAAGTATAAAATATATATTTTTATTTTGGAGTGTTGAGCGAGTCCATTGTTATTCAATGTAACAAGATGTTCATTTATAAGGTGGATATTGGTAGTAGTTTGGAGAAAGACCTTTCCACTCGATATTAGTGTTTGCAAGTCGTAACTTAATAGTAGTTGCAGTCATCTTAGAAGTAGGTCAGAGAAAATCTGCTATGTTTTCTCGACACTAAGCCTGGGCAGATATATGATTAGCAGTTTACCACTTAACTAATTCTTCATGTATGATTGGTTTCTTCACAGTAGTGTCATTTGTTTCGTCCTCTCCTAACTTCCCCACCTCTTTCCTAGCTCAGACACGTGAGCTTATATCCTTTTTGACCAGGCTCCGAAACTGTGGCGCGAACCTTGGTTTCAGCTAACATCAAAAGTCTGTTTTGATTGGTAAAATTATTTTATTTTCCAGCGTTGCTTTGACTTTCATAAAGGAAGTCATGCGTGGAGCCTCCCTGATTTTTTTTTTAGTTTTCAAACATAAATTATGTTAGTCACAGGCTTTGTTTCCATAAATTTCCGGTATCTTTTGGCCAGGTTCAGTTTTTTTTTCTACTTTCTCTTTTTATTTGAGTGTTAACTTCTCGTTAGTTGTGAGATAAATATATAGGGAGAAATTTAAACAGAGAGATAACGGTTTTAACGAAAAGCACAAATGCCTTAATTTAGTTTATTTCTTTATTTTTGTTTATATATTTATTTTATTTTACAAGGATTCACTAAAATTATTTGTGCAGTCGAATTAATACATTATTGTTATAATATAAATTCACAATAAGAGTTATATAATTTTTAATACTTTTATTGATCAAAAGACTGTTGAATACTCAACTGAGCCTTTTTATCGTCCCATAAAACCTAACGACCTGAACATTTGCATTTCGATCATTCATTCCATTGGCTGTAAATGATCCATCAAGTAGCTGCCAGATTATAATTAAAGTTTAACCCTAGACTTGAAGCAGTTATGGTTGTAGTAATATAATAATATATGTTTGAAATGTGTTTATTGTTGGTAGAATATTCACCAGGTTTTCTTCTAAATATTTCTACTTAATAAATTATGTTCTTTTCTAATTAGGGTGGTATTTATTAAATAGAATGTTATAGTCTGTGTTATTTAGTAATCGGAGACTCAAGTTCAAAATCCAGCCGGGTTCGTTGGATTCAAGCAAATAAACTTGAGCATGTTACGAATGCATATCTTCTCTCCTCCTCTATGTGTAAATAGCAGCACTGACTCTGTATAGTGTTGAGTAGCAACCGGTTTAGGAGTAAGACAACACTGAATTCAAAATCTGAGCAGGATCGTTGTAGATGCTTGTGACACATATGTGCACCAGTTTTCTGTATTTATTTCTTCGAAAAAGTGTGGTTGCTTCTGTATGATATGATCCTTAACCACTGTAATCAATTTCTATGTATGATTAGTCTGGCTGTCAACTTCTAAGAACTGAGTTGCTGTAATGGGCATGCTCACCTAACGAGTCGATAGACATTACAATGGGATATGATAAGTTTTTAGCCACCCTTGATTACAGCAATTTTGGTTTGTGTAATAACATCTCTTCTCTTTTTCAGACAATACCGTGTTAGTATCAAGCCACTGTCATCGATGAAGGATAGTTAACTTATATTTTGCAATGAAAGTTCACGGAAGTAAGGACATTGGTGAATTTCAACGAGGGAAAATAATAGGATGGCATCAGTGTGGCAATTCAAATAAAGAAATTTCCAGGTTTTTTTTTTTTCAGTTTAATCATCAAACGGTTGATTATATTGTCAAGGAAGTTAATGAAAAAAGCGTCTTGTGGAACAACATTCAGGAAAACAAAGCATCGTGTCTGAACGAACGAAATGAGTGCTGTAGTTAGAAGTCACCAGAAACCATCGTCAGAGAGTCAAAGATGTCGCCAACAGCATGGAAATGCCGTCACATGCGGTGAAAAAGACTCTGAAAGAGCTAGGCTATCAAAGAACAGTTGCAAGAAAGAAGCCTTTGATTTCAGAAGTTAACAGGAACCTTCGTATGGACTGGCCTAGAGAATTCAAAAGCAAAGATTATGAATTTTGGCAAGATGTAATTTGGTCAGATGAAAGTAAATTCTACCAATATTCGAATTCGAGACAGGTTTATATTTGGAGAAATCAGAATGAGACTTGGAACACGGAATGTCTGCAGGCGACTGTGAACCATAGAGGGATTGAAGTAATGGTGTGGGTGCTGTCTGGTTTGGAGGGAAATATGAGCAGTTGAATGGCCCAAAAGACTGCCATATATTAGAGAAAGGACTACTCACACTATTTGATACCAATCAGATTGATAAGAATGTCTACCTTTCTGAAGAAGATAGAGCAACATGTCATATAAACAAATTATCAAAGGACTGAAAGGAATTGCAAGGAAGCAAGTCACTACCATGGGTAGCCTAAAGTCCTGACATGAATGCAATAGAGAACTTTTGGGGGCAGCTTGACCGAAAACTTCGTGAGTGTGTAACCAAAATCACGTCAGTGGCAACCCTTAAAGAAACATCGCTAAAGGACTAGCAAAATATGGATTAGACGATTGTTGATAACTTGATCAAATCCATGAAAAATCGAATACAATCACTGAAACTAGCAAATGGAGGACCTACTCCATATTAGTTCCAAATACTGTTTATTTCTGTCGATTTGGGATTACGTAATTAAATTTTGAAATTAGATATAGTTTATTTCTCCTGGTTAAAATTTTTCTTAGACCACTGAATATATATAGTAAAAAAATGTTCATGTAGTTTATGTTATATAAATGTATAAATATAAAATAGGATTTTACGCATGCGCGTTTGAGTATAATACGAAGAGAGAGAGAGAGAAATAGATATTCTATATTCTGGGAACAACAAATTGCTTTCATTTCATCTATAAAACAACGATATTTAAAAGCTGGAAGATAAAATCACTTTTTGTGCAATATAAAATGGAGGATTTACACTAGGGTCTTTAAGAGAGAAGTCATTTTTTTCTTGATATTACAATTTTTTTTTGTTTCTTTGCATCGTTGTTGTCGCCTCATGGCTGCATTTAAAGAAAGTAAAAAAACGAATTCATATTTTTAAAGAATAAACGTTCTTAAAATTATGTTTAAGTATGATACGAAGTCGAAAAAAATGACTAAGTGAAGTTTTATCTTAAAATAAAATTATATTTGATAAGTAAAACATACAATGATTTATCCTTATTTAGATACGAAACAGTTCACTGAATATTATAATTTGTCTTCCTCAGATATTGGTCAACATAAAAGTGTTTAAATATCTGGAATAACTTTTAACAGAGGATAGAAACAGGAAAATTCGTCAGAAACAAAGAAACGAGTGTCGGAGAGCTATTTGTTATCTATCTTCTTCTATGGCTGCTCGACAATTTCATCATTGATGTGAAGAAAGTAATAGATAACAGAAGAATACTGAAAATTCCATGAACACAGAGAGTAAGCAACAAGGAAGTTTGAAAGTAAATGGCAAGAGAAAGAAAACTTCTGCTCAGAATCAAGAAATAGCAGCTGAAATTTCTTGAACACATAATGAGGAAGGAAGGCTTAGAAAATTTAACCATCGCGTAGCATATTAAGGGCAAGAGAGATAATGGAAATCAGCGAGCCACTTTCTTGATGGTTTTGTGTGAATGGGAGGCAGAATAGATGAGACGGGAGTCTTAGGAAATGGAAAAATACGGCTAAAATGTCACAATGGATAGGAAATTGTGGATAGCCATGTCACGAAAGTATGCAGCCTATAGAAGAAGATTAATATTCGTACACAAGAACAAATAAAACAGAAAGAATAGTACCCGTCTATATTTCTGAGATGAGGTATTGTAATTATTTACACTATTTACATTGTTCGGACTGTTGTCCTCATTTTTGTTGCGATATTCACGACGTTTCGACCGTTGTACGCCAGGCCTTCATCAGGATATGTCTATATTTCTGAGATAAGGTATTGTAATTATTTACATTATTTACATTGTTCGGGCTGTTGTCCTCATCTTTGTTGCTTTCTTCACGCTGTTTCGACCGTTGTACACCCCCACCTTCTTCTGACTGAACCCATAATTTCTTCTACCGGGGTAGATTGTCGTCGTTTCACGTGCCCTGCCCCTTCCTGATATCTTTACATAAGTTATCTTCCCTTTACCTCAACTTTCCCAGGTTTTGTTCACGTCTGCTGCAGCTAGGTATTGAACTCACAACACTTTGGTTCAAGTCACTGGATTCCACCAACGCATGCCATGTGTCCTTGAGCAAGAATATTAATTGATCTGCCTAATTCCATAGGTGTTGAAAACTCAGGTAACATCCTTACTCTCTGTTATATAGGAATAAAGTGTCCCTGCCGGCACTTCAGTTTGAACATAGATTGCCAGTGAGCAAACCCAGTCGATCTCTTTATTTCATTAAATGGATCATATGACTATAGGAGAAGCGTGAAGTCTAAATGATCGTTATTCTTAGTCTATCCTCTATTACTATTCGGATCGTTATTCCTAGTCTATCCTCTGTTACTATACGGATCGCTATTCTCTACTGTATTCACTATGATATTTCTCTATTCAGATCACTATACGGTGGTTACTATTCGAGCGAGTATTATCGAACAAGTACTATTAGTGCGAGTGATATACGAAGATCTCTGAGACTAGTATTGTTCAACAGCATACTATAGTTGTATCTGCGATTACAAAGTCTCTACTACAACGAGCATTACGAAAGTAACAACAAGTATTTGTTGACATCACATTGACTCTCTCATATATATTTCTCAAATTATTGATATAACATATCATTTTATATATAAATTTTATATTTTCGTGCATTGTTTACTACAATATTCATCAACAATTTTAATTTAATGATCACTTAACTGGAGAGTAATGCAAAATCATTCTCTAACCTTAACAAAAGATTTTATTTATTGACTTTATGAACATCAATAAATACAACATTCTCAAAAGAGTATGCTACCTTTTACCAGTATATCGGTTAAAATAATACCGTAATAATCGAAACACAAAATTGAAGAAAATAAGAATATTATACACTAGCTTAACCCGTTCAATTCTACAGGTGTTGGCATCAATATTACTCTCATGTATATATTTCTGAAATATATGTAAGATCAACGATATTAAAGAAATATACACTTACGTAAAATTAATATACAAACTTAGAAAATAAATATACAGAAAGAAAAAAATGTGGACATATATTACGAGAGAATCTCGCTGAGTCTTTCTAGCAACATTGTCCTTCCATAGCGTCTCTTGGGCAACGAATATGGAGACTGGTTACTTTTTCATAATGTTGCAGACAAATAATATAATATTAATGAGACGATAATATTTTTTTCCTGATTTTACTAAGTTTGCCTTTGTACAAGACAAATCTAAATCGTTGGAAAATAAAAATTGCTAAGCAAAGGATCGAAAGAAATTTGAACAAGAGAAAAATTCCACTTCCTCCTTCGAAATAACCCCAGTCAGAATTTTGATAACTGCCTCAGACTACTGCTCACAAAAAGTAGCGGTAAAAGTCTGTACTACATTCAGTTTGTTGGTGACATTTAAATTCCCTGAATTTTCCGCAACACAGAGGAGCAGAAATATTCCTTTACGTAAACTTTCCAAGGTGCGCGATCTAGAAATCTTGTCTTTTACTTGGATTCGAAATTATTATTGCTTATTTCAAACAGACAGATATCTAAACGAAAAAGTAGACTTGTCTTGTTGTTTATGTTGTGATTAAAACCACCAGACCGGTTCCAACATGTCATATAAATTCACTTCTGTTATAAGATAGGAAAAAAGATACTGAAATTAATTGGTCGTTAATCTTAAGTACACAATTATATGCCGATCAACATCGCCGGTTGAGTAACCTTTGGTATTTAAACTTTATAATTGCCGAAATTACGAGAACTCGATTTTGGTATCAACAAAATATTCTCATTATGAGATAAAAATGGAATTTTAATAGCTACATTTAAAAGGTCATGTATTTTTAATCATTTGATCGAACTTATGAACATGATGCCATTCTGTGTAAGGTGTAGCCGAAAGCAGTTTTGTATTGGTAAAAATCACTTAAAATTTTCCAAAAATTATAATTAAAATCTATTTCATTCGAAAAAAGAAATTGATATTATGTACTGTAGACATAAATAAGAACAGACTTGAAGCAAAAATATGAATATGTGTTGTGAAAATACGTTGTATTTAATTAGTAAAAAAATCATTTAAACTATTCAAAAGTTGATCCTCTGAATGGAGTTGACCCTTTAATATGCTCGTTTGTGACTAGATGAATAAAAGTCGTGAACATCAGAGTGACTTTCGGGAGTCGTAAATGTCATATTGTAACATTTTTTTTAAATACTTAGATGAAACAGAAGGTTAAGATATCGAATAGGGACTTTTTATACTATTATTCCTCGAATACCATACACAAGTACAGAGGAACTGACGTAAGTCGTTTTAAAAGCGTAAGAGAAAGTTAGAAGGGACTATTGTATGGTTAATTAGGAGAGATAACGGTTAACTCTCAATTTAAAGAGTGCACAAACGTAGTAATCGGGAAGCAACCTGTGGGGAGTCTGTTCCATGGATTAGTGTCGTGTCCCAATGATCCTAATGGGTCACTGGACTTGTGATTATAAACAAAGAAAGATGGTTAAAAAAAATGTACGCTTATATGACAATTATGAGAGTACACCCAAAATAATCTTTTAAGAATGTCGGTAAGAATTTAAATTGAAAAAAGGATGAAAACAGAGAAGCTAAAGTTTGCTTAATCAATTATTTGGTGTAATCATCTGTTGATAAGGAAACAAGAGAATTCATTTTTTTTAATTTATTGATATATATATACAAGTAGACCATTTTTATCTATGTATATTTGCCCGTACGAGTTTCATGCTAGACGCAGTCGTCAGGCCGCCTGATACATATATATATATATATATATATATATATATATATATTTAAAATACTATTCCTTCGCTACATAAGTGTTTTTCATGTTTCAATAACAATAGCCAAAAACCTCAATATAATTAAAATTAAACTGAATTAAATATCAAGCCTTGTTTCATCCTCAAACGATATATATATATATATATATATATATATATATATATATATATATATATATATATATATATATACCTTTTCACTTTTTTATTCTTTATTCTATCGGCGTGCCTAGAACATGCCAACTGTCTCCGCCGCAAAGGTGTAAGACAACGTCTCAAAAAGTGCCTCTTTCTCACTGGACACATTCAACCTCGAGCATAAACCCAACGAATGAAAAGAATGAGAAGACTTTAGCGAAGAGAAAGGATCAAATAAGAATAGATTTGAGGAAGGCAGAAACTGGCGATTGATGCTGCTTTTATGCCAGCAGTGCGAGAATAGAAACTATCAGAATAGAACTTGCAGTTAAATTTAGTTATTTCAACAGTAAAATCGATTGAGATCTAACAGCCAATCCAGTAGTATGCGTTCGAAGTGCCAAGGAGGAGAGCTTGTTAGAATAACGGGTTATGAAAATATTTATAGAAAATATACAGGAAAGCTATATCAAGGAAGTAAATCTTAAATCGAGATGCCAGATCAGTGCCAATAATATCGCAATCGTTTCTTTGAATTTTGTTGAGAATATATATATATATATATATATATATATATATATATATATATATAAAATGAACATTGAAGTCAACACTTATAGGCGACAAGCTGTTTCATGCTAGACGCAATCGTCAGCCAGCATTGCGTCTAGCATGAAACAGACTGTCGCCTCTAAGTGTTGACTTCAATGTTCATTTTTATATTTACACAGCTCTATCTCTGATATTGAGCACTTTATCCCATAAAATATAGCACTTTTTATATATTTTTCATATATATATATATATATATATATATATATATATATATATATATATATACATTTCGTAAAATACATCTATTGGATGCTTTATTACACATCATCAGTGATGTTTCTAGCCGAGGTTCATTAGGGTTTCGGGTCTTTCAACATCATACTGACACTATGGTGACCCAGCTGATTCGGATCAGTTATCGACTTCTGTACCTTCCGTCTATATATATATATATATATAATATTAAAGACTCAGAATCTAACTACCGAGATTTCACCTAACGGATCATCAGGATAACTCTTGCTAAACGAGATTTTATTAAAAATCTGCAACTAGAAAGATTAAGAAATAGCATGAAAACGAAACAAAAACAAAGGAGGGTAAGAACAAGCGATATTTTATTGGTAGAACGGCAACCAGAAAAATTAAAAATAAAAACTTAAAAAATAGAAAAAAATAAAAATTCCGTTATTCAAATAACCGGCTTTTTTCTGTCTACAACCATTAAGTATTTCAGATGTTTTTCACACCGCCCGAGTATAGGTCAAAAATAAAATATAAAGACAGATAGATAGATAGATAGATAGATAGATAGATAGATAGATAGATAAATAAACAAACCTAGTGAGCCAGACAAACCTATTTAGGTTTCACCTAAACGGATCGTCAGGGAAAGTCGGCTTTCCCTGAGGATCCGTTTAGGTGAAACCTGGGTAGGTTTGTCTGGCTCACTAGGTGTAACTAGGTCTACTCTACGGTTGTATTGAGCTTTTTTGTTAGTTAGTTGTTTACTTGTATCGGGTTTTTTTTCTTTGGGCTTCAAACCTGCATCTGTGCGATTTTTTTCGACAGACTTTCATGTTTGTAGCTCTTTCTTTTTAAAACCTTTTTTCCCTCGAGATTGATTTGATTATTGGCAAATCAAAAATTCAAGGGTTTTTTATATATATATATATATATATATATATATATATATATATATATATATATATATATATATATATAAAGTATGTTCATTAAGACGGATTATATATAAGGGTGTTTCATTAAGAATGCAGTAAACAAATCAATGTTATTGGTGAAAATTTATTAATTTCTCTAATGGATCCTGTTATTTAAGTCATGGTAATTATGTGTAAAAAGTAATATCACCCCAATGTCCGCCAAATCTGAAAGAAAAAGAAAAAAATCATTAGACGCTTAAACTTAATTCGCATTTAAAATCGGTTCAAGTTATTGAAACACCTTTATATATATATATATATATATATATATATATATATATATATATATATATATATATATATATATATGTAGCCGTAGCACAGGCCATATGTATATTAATTTGATATTTTAACGTGTTCAACAGAAGCGGTACATTTTTTAAAGATATTTCTTAAATGGAATTCATACTCTCTGTCAATTATGTGTAGGCGGTTATGATAAAATATATATTGTTCTTGCTGATATTTTCCCTATGCTTTTCATCATCTAAATTTTAAGGAAACAATTATATTTGCCTGTGTATAATATAGTTTGGAAAGCAATTATTACCTAAGTTCTTTAAGGAATAGACTTTTGCAAGATAAGACCATATGAGCCTGAGTTAGTATTCTTTTCATATTACCCTTAATTTATATCTAAGTAAACATTCGCTATTATACTCAAGATGGCGGTAGTCTTTGCTCGTGGGATTTTGAATAATAACGAGGTGAATGTATATTTATTTGATTCTACAAGAACGTCTCAACATGGAATTTCTTTGTTCTCGCTGAGTTCGTCAGTAAATGTTCAAACATTTTTTTCTTCCATTTCTTTTTTATAATATGTACCAGGTCTGATCAAAAAATATCGAGACTAAAACAAAACTACACCATATATCAATTCGTCATTTAATCTCCTTCGAACTAGTGCCCTTCTAAAGCAACACACTTTATTCAGCGTTGTTTCCATTGATAGAAGAATTCCTAGAATTCCTTTTTTGGGATAGCAAGGAACTGCCATATCTCATTCACTATTCTCGACGTTTTGGAATCTTTTTTCTTTTAAAGTAGAATTTGATTTTTGAAGAAGTAAAAGTCAAAAGGAAACAATCAAAAGGAAACAGTCAAAAGGAAATAATCAAAAGGAAACAGTCAAAAGGAAACAGTCAAAAGAAACAATCAAAATGAAACAGTCAAAAGGTAACAATCAGAAGGAAACAGTCAAAAGGGAATAATCAAAAGGAAACAGTCAAAAGGGAATAATCAAAAAGAAACAGTCAAAAGGTAACAGTCAAAAGCGGTGGCATCTGGAGAATATCGTGGTTTTCCGACCTGGCGATTATTGTGCAGAGTTAAAAAAATTGCTGCATAAGACGTAGTTACATATGGAACCTGTCTGGTACGGTGAGACCACCACACTCTACACACGTTCCTTCCAGTCCCCCCTTTAAACAAAGATAGTGAACGGGAGCGTTTGTAACTTATTTTGTATGCGCGACAGACTTCAAGGACAATCTGCGCCAAGCAACTTCACAGTGAGTACTTTAGCGCGGTTACCATAGCAACAGTTCCCACACATTTTGATTAAACCTCGTAGACCTTTGAAAAAATTTCATATTCATAAGACCAGCTGAAATTTCAACTTAGAAAGATTGAATTTAACTGATTTGGCATTATGTTTAGGCTTTTGTGTACGGTGAGAATTTTTCTGTGAGTAACTCTTTTGCAAAGGGCTTTTTTTTTAATAAAACTCGTGAGAGAATACTAAAGAATTTTTTTTACTTTTGTCAACTTGCAACACCTCACTGGCGATAAATAACGTGAAAATGTGTTCTGCTTGCACAATTGTTCTATTGAAATTCCTGTATGATGTGTAGAATTTCCCAGTGTATGGGTCGAATGGTATTGACATACACCTTGGTAAGCTTTGCGAGCCAAGAAACCCCACTGATCGTCAATTGGAATACGTTCAAGAAAACGTGCTGGTCAGCTCGTAATGTTAATGTGGTGGCTTTGAAAGGATTGTGTTGCGTATTGTGCCAGATGTATCGGATCATTGTCTCGTTGAAACTTCCAGAGAGCACAATATATATATATATATATATATATATATATATATATATATATATAACAGTTGGATACTCGTATTCAAGGATACCCGTGTTTTAAGACGTCTAGTCAATCCCTATTGCAGACACTTGATCAGGCAAATTTGTGTTTATTCAACACCCACAGAACCAACCTTGGTTTATACTGTAACTATGATGAGCAGATCTTAGTTACAGTTTCTGGGAGAGAGCGTGTTATCTAGCGAGATCAGTTATCTGAACAAGGCCAACACACTCAACCCCTCGGTCATGATGACTCGTGACTTCGTGCTAGCATAGATATCGACGGCCACAAAGAGTCCGTCTACCCAATTTCACTTACAAGGCTTGGGTCAGCCTGTGATATGGTTTTCCAGGCACTTTCTAAAGGTACCGAACGCTGGGATTGAGCCTTCCCAACCGATAACATCAGGAAGTCTACTTCCTGACAAATTAACCGTGGTGAGATTCGAACCCGGGTCTCATGGTCAAAGAGCGAGAGAGAGAGAGAGACAGACAGAAATAGAAAGAGAAGTGGGACAGAGGCAAAGAGAGACAGTAACAGATAGAAAAAGATACAGAAAGATAGATAGATAGAGAGAGAGAGATCCTGATAGAGAGATAGAGAATTGTAGCGTGGCATTTTCTTGGTTTTCTTAAAACGTAATTACGCATATGCTTGTCACGTTTTAATAATGATTTAGAAAATGTCACAGCACAATATATGTGACTCAAGGACACTGTATAAGAGATAAATCAGAGATAACCTGTACTTACATGAAATTGCATTTCAATTAAGTAATTAATGATAGATAGATAGATAGATAGATAGATAGATAGATAGATAGGACTAGATTGAGATAGATAGATAGATAGATAGATAGATAGATAGATAGATAGATAGATAGATAGATAGGACTAGATTGAGATAGATAGATAGATAGATAGATAGATAGATAGATAGATAGATAGATAGATAGATAGATATTCGTATACGGAACTATTTAGTCAGCTGCTGTATATTACATCAATCAACTAAGTGGCAAATTTTATTAAAAAAGAATACGCATACAAACACGTACACCCGTACACACGCTTATAGACACACGCACACACAGCAGAAGAAAAAGACACAATCAACCTAACACTAACATATATAGCGCATAAAACATAAATAAAAATTTCCCAATTCTTTAGAAATTGCTTTAAGTTATGATTCCAAACTGAATAGATATGAATGTTTTGCGAGTCTGAAATGGTTTTGCGTCTATAAACCACTATCCACTTATTAAGTGTTATAGCGAGCTTGTATATATTGTGTGGAAATAAATATTTATAGTAAAAAAAAGAAAGAATGTCGAATTAATGAAAGGATAATTTTCTTTAGAAATTCGGATATTTATGTTTCGGGTACGAAGTTATCAAATATATACTTTGAAATGTCCCATTTAGATACTGGAATTGCTTAGTGCATTTCTTGACAACGATTTCCCAGATTAATAAATGAATACCGGTTCGATTCAGGTCGTTTTTTTTTTCGGATTTCCGCTGTCTATGTCGGTAGACATTAATTTCTCTATTTGACAAAGAGGAATATCTACGCAAACACTTGTACATACTAAATATAACGTTTTCGTCATAAAAGCAATAAAAATTCTATATGTAAGAGAAAAGGATGACTATTTTTGTAACTTCCCACTGTGTTTACTTATATCTTTTTCCTTTTGCCTCTCTCTCTTTCTCTCTTTCTCTCTTATTTTCTTTCATTTATTTTTTCATTTTTTATTCCTTCTTCTCTCTCTCTCTCTCTCTCTCTCTCTATCTATCTATCTATCTATCTATCTATCTATCTATCTATCTATTTATCTATCTTATTTTCCTTCGTTTAATTTTCCATTTTTTATTCCTTCTTTTCTCTCTCCATCTCTCTCTCTCTCTATCTATCTTATTTATCTTCGTTTAATTTTTCATTTTTTATTCCTTCTTCTCTCTCTATATATATCTATCTATCTATATATCTATCTATCTATATATCTATCTATCTTATTTTCCTTCGTTTAATTTTTCATTTTTATTCCTTCTTCTCTCTCTCTCTCTCTTTCTCTTTCTCTCTTATTTTCCTTCGTTTCAATTTTTCAATTTTTTCCTTCTTTTCTCTCTCTTCCCCTCTCTTTCGTTCTCTCTCTCATTTTCCTTACTTTTATCGTTTATTTTTTATTCCTTCTTTTTACTATTGTTTTATATATTTATTTATTTTATGGAAGGGGAACACAAAAATTTAAAGAAAGATCATTTCCATAAACTAATAAATTCTAAGAATAAAATTAGGAAAGAAAGAAAGGTTGCTCGTTTAATATGTTACATCCAGTCTTCTATATTGTAAAGAATGCTGGAAAATTTCTACAAAATAAAAAAAAATGACCCAATGCAATCGAGGTGAAGTTTCACCAACAAAGGTCGAGGTTTCCATGAATAGAGGATGTAACAAAGTAGGAAATTTTCAGAACGACAGGAAGTCACAAAAGATGGCGTTAACAAGCAGAAGAAGAAATCTGAAGAAAATTGGGAACAAAATGAGATGAGAATCCGTGAAATGTCTAATACACACACAAACAAATATCGAAGTAAAGAGAAACAAAAGCAAGCATCAAGAAACCTACTTGATAAGTTTAGCAAGTGCAAATGGGTTCAAGATGGAGTTGGGAAAGGGAAAAAGTAAGGAAGTTGGGGAGAATTATGATTTGTAATGTTATGACAAAGAGAGAAAGTGCTAGACCTTTTTCAATCGAAAATTGTATTGTATATTTCAATCTCCGGTTGCGAGACACATAATAACGATTAGCATGAATAACGGAATGATTTAATTTCAAATAATCTTATGTTCATAATAGCAATGAATTTAGAAAAGATTTCATTGTATTTTTGTCTGTATTATGTTTTGTTATCGCACATCTTAAAAAGTACCTATTTACTGGTATACCAAATAGTTTCGTAAAGAATTATGCATAATCCAGACAGTAGGATGATAAAAGTTGCTATCTTCAATGCCATCATAATTTAGACACTACAATCCATTCTTAAACTTTTAGAACTTTGTCTGCGTGTTTTTCTTAGGTCTTCTCTTTTCCATATCCTTCTCATTATTGTCTTTACCATATTCTGTCTTTTTCCTTTTCCATCTCCTGTTTTTTCTGCCTATTTTTGGTTCTTTCTTGCATTCTCTTTCTTTTTCATATCTCCTTCAATATTTCCAGTCAATGTCTCTATGATGTTCCTCTCTTTTTCCTCCCCCTTTCTATCATTACTCTTTATCTTCTATTCTCTTTTCTTTTTACGTCTCTTTCTTTATTATTTCACTCTATTTTATAATCTATCTCTCTATCTCTCTATCTATCTATCTATCTCTACTTTATTCCTTTCTCTTTCTCTTTTCTTTAATTATTCATCTCTACGATCGATCAAACTGTTTCTAATACTTTTATTCAAACCAAAATGGCCGCTAAGTTTGTTTAGGTTGCTTTTTCTATAGTTTCTGTCAGTGCTACAACAATCAAGCGAGACAATGGTATTTAGTGGTTCCATCGATCTCTTTCAATGACGTCCCTGCCAGAACGGCCTCTCGCCAAAGCGGATATTTACAGCCGCCAAATCTGACCTCCTGTGTCACCTGTTCCCGTCAACAGCTTGAATGAATGCCAGTAATTTGATCTCTTCCCAGCTTCAAATTTCTCGACTTTCAAAGGCGATGGGCAGCACGCCACCTCGCCAGGAATTGTGGGTAATGTTTAGTCTCTTTAGGTGTGTCCGGTTCAATTCTCTATCAAATTACCAGGAACAAGCTTGCTTTCTTACAAATGGCAATCACTTTGTACATTGTCTTGATCCTGTCATTTTTCTGATTACTCACATCCTCAATATTGCTATTCTTTTCCTATCATCCTCACATTATTTTCTTCCTTTTTTTACAGTTATTATTTTTCATCGGTCCCGTCTCGTTTTTATTATATTATTGTATATATTATAGTTGTTATGGAAGGTGAAGATGCCATTAGAATCATTATTATTATCACAATCGTTGTTATGATTTTTCTATTCATTGTATTTTTAATATATTTGTGATATGTCCATCTTGTTTTCTTTTAGATTGTTTTTAAATTTTCATATCATCATTCTGATCTTAGTGGCAAGTGAGCATTATTTTGAATGTCATATCTCTTCAGAATATAGGCGATCGTGATTCTCCACAGGTTTCTAGTTACTTGTCAGAGGATCACAATGAATTTGTGGGTAATATAAAGAAAGACAATCCCGTTGTCTACTTTACAATTTTGTTTAAATTCAGTGATGTATATCACTTACACTGGATGGCACTCAAGGTTAGAAAACCCATTCTACATAGTGTTAGAAAAGATTGATTCATGCCTTTCCCAATGTCATTTGTGTGAAATTGAAAGCAATAGATTGCGTTGGAATTTGAACTTGGTACACCAATTCCAATCTCCGCGCCGATAACCGTAATGCTACCTGCATATTATTATTATCTTTATTTTATTTCCTTTGATTTCTGATGTGTACTCATTTCTTTCCGGGTCCCGCCGAGGGACCTAAGGTTAGAAATGGCATCATGATATTTTCCACTGGAAAAAAATGACATAGACAAAGCCCTTCGTAAGGTGTGGGCTTTACTTGTGAGTACAATTTTTGTACTTCTTTAAGGCATGGGCTTCCAGGGATCCCTTCAATAAGTCTACTGGAATCTTTTCCAACCAATTCGAGGGCTCCAACTACACCGCGGATTGTTGATGTTCCCATGTGCCACATTTTTGACATTTCGATTTCAATTGTATATATAATCCTTGTTATGGAAGGTGAAAGTGCCATTAGAATCTTTATTATTTTGACAATCGTTATGATGATTTTTTTTCTATTCATTGATCATTATTATTATTATTATTATTATTATTATTATTATTATTTTATGAATAGTAGTAGTATTAGTATTAAACATCTACAGTTGACCTCCAGGTATCTGGTTTGAACAAGTAAAAAATTGTATGAAACAAATAACCAGCAAATGCTGTAAATTGGGCCAGAAAGAAAATAAAAATCATGGTGGAGTAATGGATAGCATCTTGGATTGAGGAATCGGAGAGCCGAGTTCGAATTCAAGTCGAATCCATTACCTACGTGCTAATACCCTTGGGAAAGGTATGAATCCTCTTCTTCCCCACCCATCGCCAGCTACGGGTAAATAGATGGCAATTTATCTACCGCAGAAAGAAATGGCAACCTACCACCGGAATAAATCTGACTCATCAGTCATGTATCGAAAGATACATGATCGCCAAAGCATGCATTACGCATGGCACATAACTGATTGAGTTGGTAAGGCGATCTAAGGGAAACTGCGCAAGTGCTTACGTTTTTAGCAAACAGGGCAATGCTACAAACATTGAAACAGATAAATCATCTAGGACTTTGATATTCAAACGGATCTCCAAAACCAGATCAGAAATCCTGATCCGATAGTCATAAACGTGTAAACATATTAGATTTCACCAAAAGATTATATCTGAAAGAAATAGGAAAGATAATCCGGACAAAAAAATGAATGAACAGGAAATCTTTAAAGATGGGAGTATCCAGACGTCCACGAAATTGGAAATCCCACAGATACTGAAAAGAATACTAGATTATTGACTAATAATTAATGTCACTTATTCTCCGATGTAACTCATCGCCTACCAACAAGTTAATAATACATGATATAATAATAATAATAATAATAATAATAATAATATAAATAATAAAAAAAATGCTTCATGCTTGTCCTCCAAGACTGAAGATGACTTTGTCTCGCAATTCATCAGTGGCTACAGAGATGGGTTCGCAAAACAAGACTGGGCGCCCACAGGCAGGAGCAGTGGGGATTCGGGAAGTCGGTAGGTATGACCAATGGAAAAGTTGCTAAATAACTAAGCCGGAATAAATTGCCTTTAACTTAGCTCTCAGCAAAAAGTTTTGCCAAATGAATTCATCAAACAGCAAAACAAAGCAATAATAACAACAGCAACATCAACAATAATAATAATAATAATAATAATAATAATAATAATAATAATAATGAGGGGAAGAAGAAAAATTAAATACATTTTTGGCAATAGCACTTCAAGAAAGAATTTTTAAAGATGGTAAACAATTATTCTTAAATTCGATTACATTTTTGAAAACCTTGACATATCTTAGATAATATATATATATATATATATATATATATATATATATAAAATATACAATTAAAAGATGTCAGACAAAGGAATATTTTACTTTGTCGGGTTTATGTTTTCCAATTTCGAATATAATTTCGATCGCATCACTTTTTTTTCTTTTATTTTACGAAATAAAAAAAAATGAGTCATATTTCCTTCATTTGTTTTTTACAAATGAGTTTTTAATAAATGAATTCAGTCATCGATGAAATAGGCACATGAATTTTTATTAAATGTTTATAATTCGATAAATTTTCTAAAATTTAAATAATGCAATATCAAGCGCTATTTTTATTACGTTTTCATTGTACAGTGTTTCAGGAAAAACATTGCCTCATTTATCTATATTAAATAAGATTTTATATTCGAATAATTTCCCGTTCTATTTTCAATGTTATAATTTGTATAGTTTATTGAAATGGATTTTGATCACGGTTATGTTAATATTAAAGTTATAGCAATAAAGAAGTCATATCGATTGTATCAATATTTATGAATCACTAGGGTTCATCACGTACATTCACCCACTAAGAAATAGGTAATAACTAAGAAATAGACCAGGTATTAATTTATTTCTTTTCCTCACCCCAGGTATAATTTAAATAGTAGGGTAGACTGGACTCTTCAACATTAATTGCTGAACAATCTGGAAGCAAATCCCTAAATTTTAAAATCGGTTTGGCATGCGACTAGCAATGAGACTCTGTAAAAACTCCTTGTTAATGAAAACTACATCGTCATCTCCTAGCATGATGAAGTAGTGACTGTATACTCCACGGGGACTCTATCCTTTTTTTCACCCGACCTATTTCAGCGGGATAGTTAGAAAGGTTGTACCTGTGTGCCATAAACTGCTTTGTTTCGTAGATAACTAGTTCGAGAGATTTTCAACAGAGTAAACACAAAGAGAACTACGTAGATGAAATGTCTATGTTCGGTTCTGACTTTTACTTCTTTACCTGAGGAGGCTCTTGCTTACGAAGGTGGCAAAATCGACAACATTCCCATTGTTGATAGTTCTCACGTTATTCAATCATACAAAGTAAAAGAGGAAGGATGGGTTTTTCTTCAGGTAAATAATGAATCTCGAATTTTTTAACTGCTGACAAACACACCAGTGACCGGCAAGTTATAAATTATATATTTTATCTCATTCCTGATTTTTTTTTCCCTCTTGTATGCCATTTCCTATACGCTATTTATGGCGTATACTTTATATCGCGTGACTAGTTTACATACTATGCTGTCATTTAGCGTTTTATTTTGAACGCACTTGTATATCGTATTCTGTTCAAGTCATCCTCTTTTTGGGGGCCATCTACACAAACTTTGTGTTGTCTTTATACTATGAATATGTAAAATATTCAAATACACTAGAATCCCTGACAACCGGGTTAAAAAGACCTCCTGGATATGAGGAATCGGTTACAAAGTCCGGATATAGGAGGTTATATTTAGATTAAAAGAGCTGAAATCAGATTTAACATTTATTTTTGGTGTTTTATAGTAAACAATATAAGCTAATGGTAAATGAAATATGACGAATTGATTTTAAGGAAAAAGAAATAAATTATGTAATGTTAATGAAAATTCATTAAATTGAGTATGCCACGTATGCAAAAACAAATAATGTAAAGAGGATTTTTTAATCGCTTTTGCACGATGATTTTTTATCTTCAAGTGTCATCCTCAACGTTTCCGCATTTATTTTTGTCTTTGTTCTTGAAATTTTTAAACAAAAGACACTTTTTACTGTAATCGTCATAGCTGAATGCTGGCTTTCTTTCCATAAAACTGACAACCATTTCAATAGCTTTTTCAATTCCAGTTCAGGTTTCATTACAATCATGTTCTTTTATTTCTTTGTTCATTGTGGCAGTATGAACGCTGGGGAATAGTTTCTTTGGAAGATTTTATATCATAAAATATGGACTTTCCTATATTGAACTCAGCTATAAGTTACAATGAACTTTCACCAGCATCTAGTCTGTTTAATTTTTCCACTTTTTTCCGAAAACTCCAAAGTTATTATTTTCCTCTTATTCCTATCATCTTTTGCACCAATACAAACCATTAGGGTGAAATAAGGATAAGCAATTATCCAAAGTAAATTTCCTGAAAAACAGAGATTTAAAAATCAGTTACATATCACACAAATTGTTCAAATATACACATCAAAATCATGTCCGGATATGAGGGATTTCGGATATGAGGCATTCCGGATATAAAGGATTCCGGATATAAGGCATTCCGGATATGA